GTGCACGAAAGTTCGTTCAATCTCAGCTGTTCGTCAGTTATTAGTTAGTCAGTTATGTCAGTTTTTTGCTGTTGTATCACCGATTTTCAAAATGCAAATGATCTGTTTACTTTATTTTCAAAGAATGGTTTGTTTTGTTATTGTTTGGTTGGTGTCTTATATGAAACTGCGACATTGCGCAATTTATTGGACAGACTTGTTTAAGATCACACAGCGTAATTTGGGTGGCATTTTATTTCGTATTTTTAAATCATCTTTTTATTTTTGACTATCTGTAAATGTAGTTTCCTGCTCTTAATTGTGAATGCATACTTGATGGTTTTAAATGCTCCTGAAATTAAGTGCTGCTTGACGAGCCTGTACAGTATTGTGTTCATGTATGTGACGTCACTGAAGGCCTAAGGTTGAAATGCACGGCCCGCCACTGATGGTAGGTTAATGGAGCACTCAAAATTGTCCCAAGTTGTGAGTGTGAGTGCAGACGGTTGTTCATCAATGTGTGTCTTGCGATTGGCTGAAAACCACTGCCTGAAGACAGCTGGGATAGGTTCCAGTACGCCCTGTGACTCTTGTGAGGACAAGCAGATCAGAAAATGGATGGATGGATGAAGATCAGAATTTAAAAAAAAATTTAAAGCACCTGCTGAAGCTGTCAAGTACCCGATTGAGAAAATGGATCTGTAAACATTGCCAGCTCCTTGTCTCTCAATGTTGACAATATCTCAGCAAAACCTCTTGGAAAAAAAACATTCAAAAAAACCTCTCAGGAAATGTCCAACCAATCACTTATTCCCCCCGCCCCTGCCCGAAAAAAAAATTAAAACATAATTATCCACAAATTTTCTGAAATGGAATGAAAAAAAAAAAAACAGAACTGAATATTTGAAACTCACCATTTGTCCTAAAACAAAAGAACTACACTTGAAAATGAAATTTACCCATCCAGTGAACTGGTTTGGAAAAGGTTTAATCTTGAACAAAACATCTTTATTGTTTCGTGAGAAGGACACTGAAACTGCAAAATGGGCTACAGAATGGGACATTGTATTTGTTTTTTTTCCTTTGGACTTCTGAAGAAAAAGTGATGAATAATATGCTTATTGCTGGTAAAATACAACATATTTTATCCACACATGTAAATGGCGTAAGGTAAAACGCGTAGTCACAGCCTTGAGTATGACATGTAAGAATGCTGTATCCATGATGCAAAAACTTGCAGAATTACAAATGTTTGATGACCTCTGATGTTTATGAGACCGTGTGTGTATGTGTGTGTGTGTGTGTGTGTGGGGGGGGGGGGGGATCTGTGTGTAAGATTTTCTGCCACTTTTTGCTCATGCCTTGAAACGACACTTTAATATATATTGTTTTATATTTAAAAAAAACTCCACTTTTCCTAACTGTAGGCGAGTACTGCTGAAATAAACCTCTGGTTATATATTTTGTCCAAAAATAGAGAGAAAAAAAAGGCATGAGGCTCTGGCTGGAAAATTTACCTGGAAAATTTGATCTTAATATGACGATTTAAAAGATGCAATGCAGTACTAACTGTTGTTTTATGAAGCATCACAGATACTTTTCATTGACTTGGGAATTGATGGAAACGTGTTTGTAATTTTTAATTCTTGCTGTGTGGAACCACAACATTAATCTCGCTTTGAACCGATATTTCTTCGCTTAATTTACCGGCCAACTTGTACCAAAAGAAAACGTTTTTTCACTATTTTTTTAAATGGGTGGGTTTTTTTTAAGTCTTAAGTGTGAAACTCGAGCGTCCGTGCTTTGTCTGTCAACTAGGTCGGTGTACTGTTGCTTTAAATGTTGCTGTCGCAAGGAACTGTGGGTAATTTCCTTTTGTAAAGGTTGATGGGAGTACAGTACATTGCTCAAGGATGCTTAAAGGTTGCATGGAAGCATCTTTCTCAAACGTTTGTAGAGTTTGAACGATCCACTTGAACTACTTCCGCGTCATCTCGCTCCGATATTGTCGGAAAAGAAATTTCCGAGGCGAAAGCGAGAATTCCAAGAGGCACCGAATATAACTAAAGCTTTCAATATGGCACTGCGGCTACACTGCTTCACCAAGTACAAAGCGGGTAGGAAATAACTGAAACGTTCAATATGGCATTGCAGCTACAGTACAGTGTTTCACCAAGTACGAAGCTGCTATCGGAAGTCTTGTTTATTTTTTTTTTTCATTCATCTTGCGGCGTTAACTGTTAAGATGATTTTCATCGTTTACCTTCATGGAACTTTGTGAGATTTTGAATGCATTATTTTAATTATTGATTTTAATTATGAGTCTAAAATGACTCATATCGGTTATGTATCTAACGTTTAGAAAGGTATGTGTGTAAATATTAGAGATTCAATGATTTACAGGAGCTCGGACAGTATACAAGGACGATTCCAGTGAGAATGATTTTCCTTTAACAAATATTAAGATGTCTGAGTATTGTAACTCAAGAAATTTCAACGTCATAATTAAAACTAAGACACGTGTTCTCCGTTATCAATAGTGTTGTGGTAAGGTGAATAACAAGAACGCAGTGAAACACGGAAAACAGCGGTTCCATTGCCACTGTAATGCGCGATCCAGTGTGGCTCGTTGAGTGACCATTATATTTAAGTCATTCGGTTTTCAGATCAAAACATGAATATCAGACAAAAGTTCACAATTACAACTTTTATGTGATGCTATTTACATCTAGATGTGTTAAATGAGGACCGATCACTTTTGTTTGAAGCCGCCCAACAAAGGACTTAAAATGAATAACATTTAATATTTGGTGGCACCATCCTGACTTGCAGTAAATGCATCAACCCTGCAACCCATTGACATTCTTCATTTGAAATGTTTTTTTGCAGACCTTGACTGCAACCACGTTCACTTCTTGTTTCTGGGGTTTTTTTTCCCTTCAGTGGCCTCTTCAGGAGGTAAAATTGCATGCTCTATTGAGTTAAGGTCCAGTGATTGACTTGCCCTGTCTCAGACCTGACACTTTTTACTCCTGATAAACTCCTTTGTTGTGTTGGGCTTTCCACCATTCCCGAGACCAAGATTAACCTCAACTAAAGTGATGGAAAAGCCATAGTATGGAGAAAAAAAGAATACAAATCTTGGAAGTTCATTTAATAATGTCCACTCCAATGCTTTTGTTCACTTGACAAGTAGGTGACTTCAAACATAAGGTACTCTGTCCTAAGTTACTTAACACATCTAGATGTAAATGGAAAAAAAAAACTGGAATTCTCAACTTTTGTCGAATGTTCAACTTTGTGTTCTGTGTTCTGTTGTAATGTTGTTATGTAAAGCGCTTTGTGACAGCTGCACTGTTGTGAAAGTGCTATATAAATAAAGATGTTTTGTTTCGTGTTGTATTTAGATTTGAAACCAAAATATCTTCATGAACAATAAAAACAAAAGAATTGACCGTGCCGTTCCAATAATTTTGGAGGGGACTGGACCTGTCCTGTTCAGTACCCATAAGTAGTCCAGTCCCCATAAGGCGGAGAAAAAAAAAGTAGTGTGTTTCCGGTAACCCGACTGACCGAGAATTTCTATGTCGAAAAAAACTTTATGGTCGGCATTCTTTTCAAACAACCCTCTACATTTTTGTGTAGAGTGTTTACATCGTTGCAAACTCTCGCGATATTCACCTTGAGCGCGTGCGTCGTTTGCCCTGTTGTCTGTCAACAACATTGAATCATGGCGGCGGCCGCGATCTCCGACGACAGTTTAAACCGTGTTTTGTGTGTTACAGTCGCATGCTCGCACCGTAATGTTAAGAAAATAGCATCCATTGATGTATCGAAAAAATTCAGCGAACTATTTGATGAACACCACGGGCCGAGTAAAAACCGAGGGCGGAGGAGGACGGAGGAGAACGGCGCAGGCGGCGGCGCGCCCCGGCCCCCAAGTCCGGAGCGGGGAGAAAAATAAATAGGTGGCGGCGGCGCCGGCCGCGGAGCGGCGGGTTCAATGTCTTCTTGTTTTATGTTTTATGGTTATTTTGTTGAAATTTTTGATGGAAAAAAAAAAGATCAAAAAAAAAAAAAAAACTTTGTTCGACCTACCGACCGGCCGGCGTCGGGGACCCGCCGGTGCCATCGCAACCCGGCCGACCTCGGAACCTAACACCCAGCCGCCGGGTACCCAACTCTCTCGCCGCCTTTGGTGGCGAGCGGGGGGTTTAATATCTCCTTGTTTTATGTTTTATGGTTATTTTGTTTAAATTTTTGATGGGGAAAAAAAAAAGATTAAAAAAAAAAACTTTGTCCGACCTACCGACCCTATGCTGAAATTTCATGTTGCCGGAAACACACTATCTTTTTTGTTTGGCCTAAGCAATGTACGTTTGGCTTCAATACATATGAGCTGCTTGCTTATTCACTTCGTTTTTAATTATATTGGTTTCAGGGCTTTTGGATCCTGGTCAGTTCGTTCTCCTGTCCTATCTGAGGTTTGCATCCAAGAAGGCTGGTGGTAGCAGCAAGAATCACGGAGGGAAGAGCCCCGGCAAACGATACGGCCTTAAGAAGCAAGATGGTAATCCTAAAATATTTTAAAATGTCTTCAGAAAACTGGTGCATGGAATATTTCGATTTCATGCAAACTACATGACTCAGTTTTCCACGGGTTTACTTGGCCCGATACGCCTTAGTTGAGCGCAGGGGCATGAAACTCCTTCACTCCATTTCAAACTGTGCAAGTGAATGAAGACAAGTAGGATATATATATAATTCTGAATGGTTTTGCACAAGGGATGTAGTGTATTGAAATTACTCGTGTATGTCGTCTGTATTAAACAAAATGCCGAATGTTATTGAGACTCTTGACGAAGCTAACGTGCGTCAGATAGATGTGGATCTGAAAAACAAGTTTCGATGGGACTGGTTGGATAGAAAGATGACGGTGTCCCCAGTAGGAACCGGTAAAGAGGAACCATTGTCTGTGCTTGTGTCGGATTTCGTGAAAAAGCTCGATGTCGCTGGTAAAGCTCTGTGTACAGTGTGTGACGATGTCATTCTATACGGAAGATGCATTCAGAACCCATTATAGTAAACAGTTTGAGACTTCAATGTCACTGTATGAGGTAAAAATCAACAGCTTTTTATCACATTTACACATTTTATGAATACAAGTAATGAACAAATCTTAAATATGGCTGGGAATGTGTTTCATTTTTGATTAGTTTTGATTTTCAGCAGCAAATTTGAAGTTACATGTTGGTGCTCACCAGGAATGCATAAGCAAAATTGCACAAAGGCCTATGTCAAATTTTCACTTGAAAGAATAGTGAACAATCTTGGGATTTTTTTTCTGTGAAAGTTTCAAGTAGTCTTTACATTGATTACACTTCATCTTTAGCATGTTTAGTATAAAGTGCCAATTTTGGAAGCAAATAGGGAATGGTATTTCAACAAAAATTGTAAAAATTTTGTTGATAAAATTTATGGTTTTAAGGCTTTAAAATCTCTAAAACCCATTTGCTTCCGGGGGCTTTGCCCCCTGGACCCCCAACCGGGGCGTCATCACGAGCCACTCTCACCCTGCATATTTGATCTCACTAATTTTTAATCTGATGTACAGACACATTTTCTAAAAATACCAGTTCCTATGCGCCAATATTCCAATGTAGCCATGGCTGGTTGGGCCCTTTCGCAGCCCTAGTTATGTATTTTATTTATTTATTTTTTTTACAAAAATGAATATTATTTTGGGGGGCCAAAACATGTGCACGAAAGCTCGCCAAACTCTGCAGTCATCCGGCCTGGTGAAAAATATAATGTTTTAAATAAGTCTTCAACGGTGAAAACAAAAAAGGATCTGTAGCGCCAAAACCAATTCTGCTACGTTTGATCGAGGCCTACAAAAATTGGCAGGCCCGTGTAGCACCTCAATATGTTCAGAAAAAAATTACATTCAGAAAAAGTCAGTTGCAGTCATAGTCTAAAATGAACTGGAATGAATTTTTTGAATGTCTAATTTTCTCTGATTTTTGCACATTTACACTGGTCCTAGAGGATTCAGTAGAATGACTTCATTCTTCGACTCTCCTGTCCTGCCCTATGTCATTCTTTGATTGGTTCTTTGGCATTGACCCATAGGAAGACAGTGACCTCATACTTAAGATGAGAGACTGGATGTGTCGTACACAATCCTACTGGAAAGTGTTTAAAAAGCATTTCAACTCGTGCTACATTTGCTAACTGCTAAACTAAGCGGATTAGCAAACAGGGTGTCATTAAAAAAAAATCCTTACCTCAAGTTCTGTCCACCATTCTTTTGCCTTTTCTGAACAGAGAACAAATGCACATGCACATCATGACTCCGTCGACATGACTTTGACAGCTGCTTGTCCCACCTCCCCGATGAACATAATCTTGACGGAAGCATGCGACGGTTGAGGGGGTCTGGTCAGTGTCGGACTTGTAGTGTGACATCTCGTCCGATCCAAGACAGAACAATATTTCACTGGTAGTCTGACAACGCGACCGTCGTGAATGACACAAAAGTTGTGTAGTTTGAGAAGGCCATTATTGTGTTCCAAGGAATTGTCAGGTGTCATTGTATATTTTGTAAAATGTTCATTCGATACTGTCTTCACTTTTAAGGTAACTTTGTCCATGCGGGGAACATCCTGGCAACACAGAGGCTGCTGAGGTACCACCCAGGAGCGCATGTAAGTTTACTTGTGTTCTTTTCTGTACTTGGGAGTTTGATGTTTGACTGGTAATTAGACATTAAAGTCACCACATATGTGATTCTGTTTTGAAGGTTGGCATGGGAACCAATAAAACTCTTTATGCGCTTGAGGATGGTTGCATCAGGCTCACCAAGGAGGTCTATATCCCCCACCCTCGCAGTCTGGAGACGAGCCAGATCATCACCAAGCTTCCTCAAGGAACTTTGCTTTACAAAACCTTCATCAACGTTATTCCAGTCACGCAAGAGCCCACCTTCAAACTGGTTAACATGGTCTGAACCTGACATGCGAGGATCAAGAACTGCATTTTATTTCAATGCCATAACACTGCCTTTACAAAAATAATGTTGCAGTGAACTGCCCCAAAAATTGTCCTGTGAAAGATCAACCATATTTTCTGGAAAAAAATGATGTCACGCAAGAAATGTATTCGAATGAACTGATGGTCACTTACAATAATAATAATCAGTAATGGAGCAATTAGTCAACGAATTGCCCTCGGAATGCCCTTTCATGTCCCCTAAATCCTGATGTCCTCATTTACAGAACTGGAGACCAATTCATTATATCGCCAATATCCACACAAAGGTATTTTAAAATTGTTATTTTGATCACTTCATTGCATTTTTTGTCATCCTGGTCCATGATTACTATCACTTTTTTATTTTATTTTATTTTATTTTTTAAAGGCCACGCAAAATTCACCAAAGCTTGGATGAAATGTTATGTGACACTTGTCTTTGGCCATTTCATGATTCATTTCAGCAGTAGAGGAAATATACACTGTGATACAAGTGCCTATACTGTATGCAGATATACAGCCTCTGTGATAACTTTAATAGTTATGTGGCCATCATATGTCTCTGAGTTTTCCTCATAAAAACCAAACCTAAATCATGTGATGTTTACAGAAATTCCTGCAGGTCACAAATCTCTAAAACGTCTGTTCTCATTAAATTTAGTGGCACATGTACACACGCGGATGGATCCTCTGTTAATCAAAGAAAAACCGACAGTGGTCCCAGAACTAATTTAAATGTGACAAAAATGATAACACGGTTCCCATGAAAGCATGGAATTTGATTCATTTCCAGGTCTGGAAAAGCTTGGAAAATGGAAATTACTGTATAGCAAACCAGTCCTGTATCTAACACTGTTTAACAACCCTGTTTCTGGAAATAAAAAATTGTACTCACTTTCTCATGGCTTGTTGTCTTGTTCCCGCCATGGTTTTTTGCCTGCCCATCCTTTTTTTTGTTTGTTATTATTTCAGGGCAGGCATTCAAAATCCCACAAATGTACATTGACAATAATATTAAAACACAGCAGGTATGGAAGTTTTTTTGGCAAAGCTAGTATTTAATGTGCTTCCTCCCATGGCCTCTCAACCTATCTTGTTCTAATTGAAGGACCCACTCGCAATCACACTTCCCCGGGACCCTCGGCGAGTCAATGAAGGTAGCAAAAGATGTGTGTGGACTGCCGAAGCCTCATTGACCGTGGGCGGCGCTCTGTCATCGCCTGAACAGCGTGGAGTGCCATGGTGCGCTGCCTTGAAGATTGCGATGGGCCTGCCACGGGAGATGCAGAAGTCCAGTTTGATGCATTCTCAGCCGAAGAAGACGATGATCACCCGAAGGGACAAGGCAATGTCACCCGGGCTGGACTTCTAACCGGAGAACCAGTGCCCAAGCCAAATTGTTTCTCCGCCTCTGAAAGCGATGAACACTCGTGGTGAGAAAGTGATGTCGATCGGTATGGACTTGTAACGGGAGAACCAGTGCCCCAAGCCCGAGTGATTCTCAGCTCCAAAAGGTTATGGGCATCTGGGTGGAACATGTGCTTCGTCCTGCTCATTTGGAGAGGGTGGTGTGGACAGTGATTGGCCTGCGTCTTCAGGAATTGATTCTGCAGGAGTACGAAACATCCCATTAGTTTTCTCATGTTCAACAAAAGGCCCTACACATACAGTTGTGGTATTGAATAGTGTGTGCCTGAGCTTCGTCACCAGTGCCGGGGAAAAGAAACAGGAATTATGTGCTTGGAAACCTCAGGTCTGCTTTGCGAATTTGACTACGAGCTTTTATTTCCATGGGTCAACAAGTCTTTTGCGGCTGTTACGGTAATGGAGCCCCCTCCCCCACAGTACGAGATGCTGTACTTACTGCAATTTTCTTCGCCCATACTTAACTTTCTTCTGGGAGGTCCCGCCTTTCGACAACCACAGATCACCTAGCCCCAATATAGGTTTACTCCTTGACCTTATCAGTGACTGTCATGTTCCGCTCTGTTTTGTTTTGTTCTTTTGTTTCAGCACCAGCTGGAGTGTGGGGTGTCACCCTTCAGACGTGCACCTGTGCCTGATCCAAGGCAATCAAGTGGCGGCCTACTTAAGGACCCTGACTTCTTGTCCCCCTTGTCGGACTGGTGCTCTTGTTCACTGCTTTTGCCAAGTGCCATTTTTATAGATCTCTCGTTCATGCTCCAAGTCGCTCTCCTTGTCGTAGGCTATTTTGGTCCTTAAGTAGTTCTTAAATAATTGTATTTGTTCTTGCTTTCATGTGATTGAACTAACCTCATTTCGTTTTGTGTATTTCTCGGTGATCATTCTGTCCTTGTAATTAACAAGCGCTTTCTCATTTGGTTTTCCTGGCTTTTTGTCGCCCAGTGCCTTTTGTTGACTACTTTGTCCGTCTATTGCTTTTCTTTAAATAAACCTCTTTTGCTATCGCCATTTATCTGAGTCTGCGTTTGTGGGATCCACACTCCTTCCAGTCTGAGTCAAGACCTCTTGTCAGCGGCCAGAGAATAGACCAACTCCACAAGTGTTTTGCTACCTTGTTCTAGTGGTTGACTTTAAAAGGTATGGCGGAATAGGAACCATTTTTTACCTGGAATGGATGAAGTACTCCTGGGATAAGGATGGCAATACCCTGGCAATAGCGCAAGGCATGTATCGGAAAAAAGCCCTCTTCATTCGCTGGCCTTCTCTGTGGCAGCAAGCTGACATTGGCCAGTCGCCCAAACACGGCAGTTGTGACAGTTACAACAGTTCCGTAAAACATAAGCCATCTCCTCTGACATGACACCTTGGAGAACCACATTACATGTGCCACTTCATTGCCATTGCGATGAATCTTCGTTGGCCCACGGGCTACTGACACAACAGGGACAGATGGGCGCAAGCCCTCACCGCTTCAAGCGGGCTCCGAGCAGGCTTCGCGCATGATGATGCTTCCGAAAGTAGCTCCACTCTCCCTCCTAGGTGGCTTTAGCATTAATGCGAGTGATGTTTTAATAACGAAGCATGTTTTGTGTTTCAACATACAATGTGTGTAATTCTCTTTGTTGTGTGTTTAGTTTTGCAATTTAACTTGGACATGTGTGCAAAAGTATGTTAAGAAATTGCTTTGAAACAGGAAATCTGGGCGTCCCTAATGAAGCTACTGCTCCTGCGACCCGACCCTACATAATCAGTAGAGAATGGATCGATGGATGGTCTGTCAAGTATCAAAATTTATAATATGTGAAATGTGGTTTTGCTAATTTATTTTTTATTTTTTCATTATCTTATTCTTAATGCTGCACTGCGACAGGTGATAATCTGCCTGGGCCTTGATTTCTAGAAACTAGATTTTGTAAATGAAACACTGTCTCCCAAGGTTTGTGGGAGTGTCGTTCGTCAGTAAACTCATGTTTATTGTATGGGTGTATAGCTGGCAGAGGAACAATCATGTCATGCAAAGCGCACATTTCTTTTGCTTGCTAGCTCATCTCGCTCATCTTTTTAAGGAATGTTTCTAACAGTGCTTACCATGTGACATGCATAAAACTTGTCAGCTCAGGAATGAAGAAAAGGAAATCTGAACATGTGCGCGTGTGTGTGTGTGTGTGCGTGCGTGTGCGTGCGCATGTGTGTTTGTGCGTGCATGTAAGAGTGACATCTCTCGCTATACCAAGTGAACCACCTACTACCTGCCAACCTCCTCGAACCGTCACCGTTTTTTCGTATATTCGCAGAGTAAAATACCATGCTCAGGTTATCTCCTCAATGCTACTGAAGTCTTGTGTTCAAGGCAGAACTAAACTTGGAGTTTTGAGAAATCTTTGAGTTGTTTTTGTCAAGTTAAACTACAGTATGTTGTGTTCCTCGTCAGAAATGACCATTCTGCTAAGAATCACGATAAAAATTCAGTTCTTGCATATTACCTGTCAGGTATTGGAGGCAATCAGACCCTTAAGACAAACTTTAAAAACACAAGTGAGACTCGGAGTCAAGCAGAGTTGTCTTTCTTGCAAGGAGAATTGCGCTAAGACGTGTCTCGGTTTACAATCTTGGAACAGCTCTGGAGCGAAGATGTGTAAATTGTTATAGTCTCTTGACAACTCTGAAGAAACTGCGCTATCTCCTCGCTTTTATTCTCTTCAGGGATCGTACAGAGGGGTGGGGGAACATACACACTATGCATTCCTAAGGGTGGTCAAAGGGGTCATGCTGGAGGTTGGTGGTTTGTAATTGAAGCTGTTGAGATGTCCAGATGCGACGTCCAGGGACTGATATTTTCTTCTTGATCAGAGGCTGTTAACCTCGCTTCAAAGCTGTGAACAAGACCCAGCTGGTCTTTTCAGCATGACAGACCACCTTGGTTCGCCCACTGTGCACTTTCCCATTTGCTTTGTACCCAAATGAAGCACTACTAAGTTGATTATACATCCAAAAGCAGAGAGCAATAAGTTATATACAATTACTCTTACATTATCAATACTGTATTGTGTTAGGTATTTTAATTAACTTCTAGTCGTTAAGTTTGAGTAAATAACACCAAATTTGAACTTCAAGATGTTTTTAGTGGGCCATATGCCTCATTGTTCTGATCTTATGTACTTGAAAGCAAGTTCTAAAAAAAACAAAAAATAATTTTTAGTAAACAGATGACACTTGGTACACTGATTATTACCGGGTTCTTTGGGTCAAAACTTGCTATTAATCATCAAAAATGCAACCATAAGTATATATGTCAGTCAGTATGGTTCAGCGTTGTTGTCAAACATGTTTATTATACAGCAATTCCTTGCCACTTCATGTTTTACGGCTTCAGTGCTTCACCTGGCTTTCCAAAATACAGTACTGTATTCATTTAAAGAAAGAAAAAAAGACAAACAAAAGGAGTGGCTCTGCATCATCGCAGCCTCACCCATCACTGTCCCTTGTTGTGTCTCGCGAGTCTCGTCCACGCTGACTCTCGCATACTGTATCTAAGTATTATTTGCGATGACTTTTTTTAAGCGAAACAGTCAAACCTCTTTTCAACATTCCTTGTTTACATTTTCACCCCAATACCGTTCACATCAAAGTCTTGATTTCACCTAATTCACTTTCCATTTGCCGATTTTGCTTACAACAAACACCTTTATAAAGTGCACTTAGTTATAGCAACCAGATTTTTCCCACAAAATAGCGAAAAGGCCTTCACCTCCTACAACGAAGCTGACTGCTGCCGTGACATTGCTTATGAACAAAATGTACAGCGCGGGATTCCCCTCCATTGCTTAGCAACGCTACTGAATGACTCATACATTGTTGTACATCTTGATGCATGGCGTGGTCCTGACACATTGTCTAAAAACATGTCTGGTAAACGGAAGCAAATCTCGCTGTCTGCGAAGGCTGAAATTGTCTCTCACTTTCGAAAGGGAGTCTCCAAGACGAAGCTCGGCTGAGACTACGAAATGGCGAAGTCAACAATTTCAACAATCATCCGTAATGGCAACAAAATCATGGCAGATTTTGAGGCTAATTGATTTAAAGATGATCGTAAACGGCTTTGGGTTGCAGCGCATCCTGAACTGGAGAAGGCACTTTTCAGTTGCTGAATAAATGTTTTCTTCATACTGTATTTGTAATTAAATTGTTTTTACTGTTCATGTTTTTACATCTACAAAAGTTTATGCTGTATTATACATGGTAGTTGGTGGCCATTTTATTGGAAATGGTTATGTTAAAGTTCCGGACTAGTCCGGAACAGGAGCGGATCCCACAAATGCAGACAAAGAAAAGTTTGAAATACAAAAATGATTTATTTATAAAATAACTTCACAAGACCAACAAAGTACAACATAAAACGCTGGTAACAAAATAATCAGGATAAAAATAAGGCGAACGAAAACAGCAAGGGAAATTAATAACGCAAAATCACTT